AGTTTATAATCTAGTTGTTGACATTTTAAATCGTTGTTATAAAAGTCAGAACTCGTAAAATTAAAATTCTTGCATAGTCTATACAGTTGGACTAATATTATCTATTTTTTAGAATAATTGGAGTCGTGTACTTCTCATATTTTAATAATTTGGACGTAGGAGACCTCTAGCCTACTTAGGTTTTGCTTCATAGTATTAATTAATTAGAATTGAAATAATAGTACTAACTAGTATTTAATTAATGTTAAATCTTCCTTAAATACCTGCAGAATTAGAGACAAAATCAGGAATTATGGATTTGTACCATTGTGAATATTTAAGGTTTGAGTTGGGATTCGATGAAGTCCAAGAAATTGTACACATGTTGCTATTTCATTCCTTCTTCGCAATTCCAGATAATTATACTTCAAAACTAAGAGACTTTGTAGATGATGTCAAAACAAGAAACACGAAATGAATAAATAAATAAATAATATATGGACGGACCCTAAAATTTGTCAGTAAATTTAATTTAAATGTTCGAATTATGACATATTTCAATTGAGCAATTAGACACCTTCAACTCATATTTTGTGAGATAAATATTTTCTAAGATAATTATTATGCATGTTCATTAGTGTCTATAGAGACGGGTCTATGATTTATAAAAAATGGGTGCACGCACCGTAAAAAAAAAAAAAAAAAAAAAAAACTTTTATCAAGCTAAATATCTCAATATTCATCAAGTGCACTATTTAGCCCATACTATTTTTCCAGATATTGTAGTTTCAGTAGTTGTTGGGCTTATGACATAGAGCCCCTTTGGATTGCTTGGATTTTTAAGTTTCAGAATATAAAAAACACTTTTTAAGTCTTAGAGCTTAATTTATGAGATAAAAATATACAAAATTAATCAACGCAAAACAGTTTTTAGGCCAAAATAAGTCAAAAACAATAAGTTGGAGTTAGTTGTCTTAAAATTACCTAGTTTATAAACTTAGGTAAAACCATCCCATTAGAGATATATTTGTATTGTATATATACTAATTCTACGTATACCTTCAAACAATTACATATTTTTATCATTAATTAAGAATTTTTTTAATAATATATTGAGAAAAATACATATAGATTTGTATTTTTGCCGCAAGATACACTAAAATGGGGAGAGAGAAGGGCGAGACCATGTATCTCATATAAACGTGGAACACTAGGGTGTTCCACATGTATCTATGATACTATATATAGATAGGAGAGTGACAAACAAATTTTGTTGTTTTTCCATATAAATGTGAATTTACGTAGATACAATATATCAAGAACAATTTACACATACATAGATGTATCTAAATGCACCAAAATTTGGTAAGATACAAAATATTATTAACTAGGATGTATATACGCAATTAATTCTAAAGTAGTGAAATTTCTACAAGTTTCCAAAAACTAGTCTAAATTTTGTATCTCTTAAAATTTAAAAGCTAAAAGCTATAAGCCCAATCCCAGATGGGCTCTTAATCACGAGCTGACTTTAACATCTCTTATACACATAGCTGAGTTGGGCCTGATATGAACAAGTCCATATTTTAGATATTGCCTTTTCAATTTTTCAATTTAATTTATAGAGTATTTTGCACAAAGATATATATGCATAACAATACGTTATAACACTCGTATCTTTTGCTTCGATTCATGTGAGGAATTTTTTTTTAATTTCAAAAATTCAAACAAATTAGTAATTTATATTTTGTACGGTAAACACAACATATTAGGGACTTAAACACATTATTTATGTGATTTTTCCAATTATAAACTCCTATTGTGGATGGGGGACGAAAAAATAGAAGTATTGAAGTGCTACGTCACGTGGCAGATCAGGAGCATATTTAGATTTAGTTAGTCAAGTAACGAGGTGTTTTAAGGCCGTCAAAAGTTTAGAGACGAACGCCAAAGTTTAGAAGGGGTTTAGTACTTCTCTCTAAATATTATAATGCAAAAACATATATTTATATCTAATAATTTTATTTTATTTTGTTATGAGACATAAATTTAAGACTAGCACAAAATAAGAATACAAGAGCTAATTCCCCATTAAAATTTTGTTGAATGAGTTTCACGTTGTTCCTTAATGTGGGGTACATAATAAAATGTTTGCATAAATATATGTTGGCCTTTGAGACATCCGAATTAAATGATTAATAGTGATAATATTGATCTAAATCGTTGACAAATATAATATAAGAAACTTAAAATTCATATTCCGATACTGAACGATAAGGAGATAGTAAATATAAAATATCATTTATACAACTTATTTTTTCTATTTCTTTAATAGAAGTCTGACAATCAAATAAATATTTTTCTCTCTCTCTCTCTCTCTCTCTATATATATATATATATATATATATATATATATACTA